GAACAACATCTTAATTTTTAAGTGAGTTATGAATATATAAAATATAAAATTTAAAAATTCTCAAATAAATCACTTAAGAAAAAAAAATACTGTAAATAATTATTGAAACAATATAGACAATGTTTTTACCTTTAAGTTTGAGAATAGACAGTAATATCAGTTCACTAATTTCACTAATTCTAACAGTTCAAAATTGGAACTTCTGAACTCAGATTTTATATGTTGTCCATTTGTGACGTGACAAAAGAAACTGAAATTATAAAACATTTTCAACAATCGTAGATATTATGTATAATATATTATGCATATTTTATACATAATATAATACATATATAATATATAAAATTTATATGAAAGACTGAAAAACAATATTTTTTCTTTAAAAAATAATTCAAAATTTGTAAGAACTTGATATTTTTACTAGATATAGACCATCCTCACCATATTTTAACATTTCCTGAAAATCACTCTTAAATTATTTTTATTGTTTTAAAACACAGTGTAATTCTTATCATCAACGGATGATCTTCATATAAAATTGTATTCAGAATGTGATGATTCATCGCTTTCAGATTTAAAATGTCAATACCTCGGTCAATACTCTGTGCCAGCTGCCAAGTGGCAAGCCACTGAGTAGTGACTAGTGAGTCATGCGTTAAGTTCTTTTTTGAAATATATTCAATTTTATACTTATTTCTTGGAGTTTGAATATACATATTAATTATTATTAAATCTAAATTAATCACTACAAATTTAAATGGCACGTATTAATTTTTTTTATACATGAAAATTAATGTTGAAAATATTTTTTTTTGATTCAAAATGCAATTATATAATATTTATCCTAGCAAAGTTATTATTTTAACAATGTTTATACATATTTGTATTAATTAAATTGTTACGCAATTTCAAATGATAATTTTGCTTGTTAAAATACACGAATCAATTGTTGATAAAATATATAGTTTTGCACATACCAATTCGGCGATTCCGTTCTTTTGATTGTTACGTTTCCACTAAATTGGTTCAAAAATATACTTTCGTATTTCCAGTAGCATGATGTTCATAGAAATGAAATGTTTTTACCAAAATAAAATCGGAACTTGTACAAAAAGTAAGCGTGGGTTATTTTTAATATCGTGATTTGAATGTTTTATGATTGAATGGAATGCCTATTAAGTATAATTTATAACAGAGCTTTTAAAAATAATTATAAATATTTCAAGTATTGTACACTGTACAGTAGTTAGTTAAATTTTATGTACACCAAATTAATGTCTTATTTTAAATTAAAAAAACATACATAAATATTAAATATATATATAATATGTTAACATTGTAAACAAACAAACATTGCCATTTGGAAACTGAACATGTATCTATAATACATCGAAAGGATTTTTCTTTCACAATAACGACAGAGTAACAGTTTTTAATTTTTAATAGATGATAATTTATATAAATACCGACTATTAAACTGATAATCCAGTTTTAATGAAAAATAGTTACATGATAAACCACGTCTAAAAAAGTATAAAAATGTTGGTGCCTTTAATATTGTTGTGTTTTTTACAGTCAATAATCTTAAACATTTTTTTCATAGTATATAGTAAATTCTGCCGAATTACTTGAAATGTCTTTCTTTTTTTTTTTATTACCCAACTTTATGAACTATAATACATGAAAAATAGTTTTACCTACGTTTTTTTACAATTAAAAATAAAAACTAAATAAGTAATCATGATGTGTGTTTTGGTTTTTTTTAGTTCTTACATTTCACAGTTCAAATTTTTAGTAGGTACCTTATGTTGGTTTTTTCTTGATTTTTCACGTGATTTCCATTATTTACTAATTTATTAATAAATTAATCGTAAATCAAATCATATTATAATATTTAAATTATAATTTCTAAATTTAATAAACCTTACACAAACTTTATGACTTTTAAATACTATTTTCTTTAAACAACTAAGTACTTTTAATAATTAGTATCGAAAATATACTTTATAACTTGATTTCATATGATATTTTATACTATATATAATATTATAACAAATAGTTTAAGAATCATATTATAATTACTGGATTTGATAAAAATTTTTTATTAGCGTACCTGGACCTGGTCAATGGAACAAAATCAAAAGTTCAAAGCTTATACAATTGGTACTTTTCGCTACCTATCATAAATATGTATTATATCGGTTGGTTAGAATATGTACATGACGAATTTCATTTCAACTAGATACTAATTAGTAATGATAATCTCTATTGAGCATACAAGTGAAAATAAATACATTATTTATTTTAAACACAGATTATTGAAAAATATAATATTAGTTACAAGTTTATTTAATCGGTAATAACGAATAAAACCACTTGTGCCATTTTTGTAAAAAAAAAAAATAGTGATTAAAAAATAAAACCATACGTAGCAGGTAAGATTGTGTTAGATGTATAGATAAGCGAGATGAATCGATTTTATATTTGACTACAGGGTTTTTCTCACACCTTATTCGAGGCAAAAAAGCTTAAAAGTTTCATGCGGGAACCCTTAAAGACATGGAATTAAACTAGGATGGAAGTATTTTTTTCAAACTTCTGAGTATCTACCTAAATTTCGAGAAAATAGCAAAGCACAACTGAGAGAAAATGTCTTAAACATTGACCTGCACTTAAACCTACACTATAATGTATCCTATCACATAAAAGCCATCCACCCTTGTAACTCCAGTTTTATTTTTTGTAAAGTATATTACTATTTCATACAGTGAATTTCGATGATTACAGTACCTACTACCTACCCATAGTTAAAGATTATGTCTAAGGGTTTAATCCTGTACTCATAAAATATAAATACCAATGGGTCCATCAGGGCTACATTTAGGGAGACGAGAGGGGCGCTGGGTACAACTGCCCCGGGAGCGAATATTTTGTGGTTAAAAATTTGTTTACTTGTGAGTTATTAAAATTTTATAATTTTAATTATTTTAATAACAGTATTATATAATATAATTTAGTATACTAGTATTATATATATAGTATTATGCTGTTTGAAATTTTTTTAATTAATATTAATTTGCATAGTTTTATATAATTATATTTTATTTATTCATGAAGTAGCTTTAACCTACTTAAATATGTTTAAAAAAAAAACAACTTATAATATGATGAAGTATAAGCAAGGTTAAAGTGACATAATTCAAATGTATCTTTGCGGAGAGAGGATCAAGCAATTACTAAACAATATTTTTCAAAAAAAGCACACATTGTAAAACATATATTTTTTTCTGTGCTCAAAATCTAAAAGGTTAATGAGGATCTATCTCCCATATTTTCCGTGGGTAAGCCCCTTAGGGGGAGCAATTTTTTTTTCACCGGAGCTTAAGGGGCGCCAATTTTTTTTTTGCACCGGGGTGCAAAATGTCTAAATGCAGCACTGAGGCCCATGGGTATAGTTTTACACAGAACATAGTGAGGAAAGAGGTAGGTAAACGTTTGAGGGATGATCGTGAGAATATCAAATATGTATATACGATTCACTACGTCTTAACATTATAAAATTGTGAATAAAGATAATGGAAAGGTAATCAGATAAGAAAGGCAATAAAGTAACAAAAGGTGCTACACTAAGCGATCGATCGAATTTCGGCGCTGTCGCTTATAATATTATTATTTGTATTATATTGTTGGATCAGCGAAATGTCATATTGTCGTATTTATAGTGTCAGTTCGATCGTAAAGTTAGTAATTACGTCCAAACTTGTGGGTATACCGTAGAAGCTAGGACCGGAGACGAACGATATCGTTATAATTATGTTTATAAAATTGTAATTATAATCCTGCACGAGTGGATTTCGCTGTACCTACATGATACACCTAACTTCGTCAACAGGTACATCAATCTCGAAAGCATATTATTATTATTATTAGGTATATTATATAATATAATTAGCGATTATGATGACAAGGTGGGTTCGCGCAAAAGGGACTCACGGCCGACATGCGCAAGCGGCGGTCATATTATTCATATCACGCCAACACAAACTCGCGGCGTGTGCACAACACGCGAAAATCATCTAAACCTACGGCGCCGGACGGACAGTATCTATGCGATTTTTTATCGTCTAGTTCGACCTATACTTAACATGGAATATTCAACAATTATTATATTGTTGTTGTCATTATTACGATAATTCGATAGTTCAAACGATTCGCCAAAGCGAAGTATAGTACGATAACATAATATTATTATTATGCCCAACATGGCTATTGGTGCATAATCGTGTGTGTCTTACTGGTGCAGCTTCCGTTTCGAGTGCGCGCAGGTATACGATAATATTATAAATAATGCAATTATTAATAAAAGTCGGATAGCGAACGAAACGCCAACGATTGGCCGTTTCCTACAGATGGTCGTAAAATACAAAAAACAATTTTTAAAAAAAAAAACACACTACTTGGCCTACCCTTGTTCGGAACGGCGAGTTGGCGGAGCAGCGGCTTGCAGCTACCGTCGTCGTCGTCGTCTAGCCGGCGGTCCTGCAGTGGCGTCAGCCGCGGGCGGTCGTACGGCGGCAAGTGTCCAATATAATATCGCGGCGCGCGTGCGACGGCAAAGGAGGTGGAGGGTACACGGCGGCGGCGGCGACGACGACGACGACCGTCGACGAGGTTCCGCGGAGGAGTGACGTGCGCGCGCGCGATCGCGTCCGACGGGCGCTGACGATGACAAAATTATTATACAGTAGAAGATCGCCGGCGTCACGGGTGAACGAATTATAATATTATTATTACTCGGCGGCGGGAAAAACTCATCTCGTGGTGGCGAGTAAGACGAAACCACCACCGTTGGGCCGTTCGGTTCTGGGAACGACGACGGTCGGTGCAAACTTTTTGAAAACCAAAATGTTAGAAAAAACATCCGAAAAACGAAATTTATTACGTAATATTTATTACGATATGTATTGGGCAGCGGCGTGGATATAAAATATTAATATTATTTATAGAGACAAGACGAGAAACGGGACGATAAAAAAATAAAACGGCAAAACAGTCGTCGGCGCAACAGTGCGCGGCGGCATAGTTCTAAATAAAACTATCGGGTGGCCGTTATCGTCGGCGGTGGACGTGGGTGGTGGAGGCGGTGTCGGCGGGGTGTACATTCGATGGCGCGCGCGTATTGTGGCCCCTTTACAGCGGCTACGGTTGCTGCGCTCCGACCGCTCGCCCGCCGGGCGTGTGGACGCCGGTGGGCCACCTCCGCCGCTGAAGGTGTACGTGTGTGCGGTGGCGCATGCGCCGTCGTAACGTTTTGACGAATAATATCTCTTCGGATTTCCGCCGTCACTTCGCATCCCTTCGCACCTCCACCGCCGCCAACCACAGCCTTCACCGTCACCGCAGACGACGACGACGCAAACGCTGAGCATCCCCGCCGATCTGGAGACGGACGTCTGGAACCGAACGACGCTCGCACGGGCTCCCTCCAAGCCGACGTATTGGGAATTAAACGGCGATATATTAATAAACTCCTACCGGACGGTTTATAAATACCGCACGCCGCCGCCGGGCCCGTTGACGCTATAGTGCCGCGGTAATATCACAGGCACGCACTTAATATTATTATTATTATTAGGCATATATATGGTGCACGTTTTCAAGAACCATCGAAAACACAATAATATTGTGTCGTTGTACAAGGTGATCGTCGTGATCTTCTATGGAGGTTGATCGTAAAATAAGTCATCGTTAATTTGTTCAAAAATATAATAATATAGAATGAAACCAATCGACAGTTTCAGGCCGACGATACTGCGCTGTATTACTGTTATAATCATTCGAGGGCCTCATTCAGCCGGTACCACACGCCGCGAATAGCATGAAATGTTGTATTATGATCTATGACTTACAGTTTTAGGTGGAGCAAGGATGCACTTAAAAGTATTGAAATATGCAGCCATAATAGAGCTTTTAATATTCATTAAAAATTGTAAAAATATGCATACTAAATTAATAGGTATGCAACAAACAAATAAAATTAGAATTACTTGATAATGAGAATTGTAGTGGAAGTTCGAGTATGCCTGAAGAGCAAGTCCCGTCTCACAGCAATCATAGCAGTGTATCATGGCTAATTACAACCTGTTGAAGCCTTCAATATTAATTATTATAACAATAATTATAATATGATAGTATAATAAAATTTTTCCAGTAGTTTTCAAAAGTTACGTGAAAATATATTCAATGTATTATTTAAAATAATATTGCATACGAGTCTGCAATGAAGTACCACATTTTGTGTCTTTGTTGTCCTTGCTATCATATATCTATCACCTAACTATCGTGTGATAAGCGCGTATATCGAGTTCGAATCTCGGATTAGAAAAATTATATTTTGCAATTTTTTTGGTAACGTAACGTTGTTCGATTTCGATTCTATGTGCCAAAGCAAAGACATAATAATAATTATTATAATAGTTTTAAAACCCATGGAAACCATTTATAAACATAAATAAATAACGTAACGTAACGTTTTTCGATTCTATGTGCCAAAGCAAAGCCATAAAATGTCAAAAATATAAATAAGTGTAATAATAATAATAATATTAAAAATTTAAATTATAACTATTACAAACAAGTTGGGAAAGTTCACTCTTCGAGCCTGCTCAATTCCCGGTTTCCTGACGTATTTTGATACAACACAATGCCATAATAGAATTAAAATAGAATTTGAAAAAATTATATTTTGGTACCTATTTTGTAATACTGGCTAGTATACTGATTACTGAAGATGAAAGCCTAAAAACTATAATCCAGGGGTGGTCAATGACAAAAATATAGTCACAAGACGCACATTATAATGAAAAATATTTAAGAGACAAGAAAAGGACAATAATTTAAAAAAGGTTCTCAAATTTCAATTATCGTAAATAGTAATAGGATATCAAATGTAATAAAATGTGTAGAATGCGAAACAATATTATAATAACGTACAATAATGTTAGATTAAATTTTATAAGGGACAAAGTTGTCTTCATATTATAATACCTAGTTATAATTATAGTATTACCTAGGTAATAAGATGTTTTTTTTCTTACGATAAAACACGAGCTGAATGAGTCTATGATGAGAACCGCGGTTTGGCCACCCCTGCTATAATCTAACGAATAAATTTCTTTTAGCACTCGATACGCATCATCATCTTGAAACTATCCATCAACGAAAGTAGAATAATTAACCATATTCCCTGTCATAATATTTGTGTCACTAACTTTTTTTTCGCTTTCCAGGTCAGTATAGAATAATTATTTACAAACTTTTGTAATTCTAATGATTTAGTTTCTCCTTACATAAGAAAAAATCCAATGTTATAGGTAATACGACATCATATTAATATCGACCAGACATCGACTTAACTATTTCATAGTTGCCTCTGATATTTAATGCTAAACTATGACGTTCAAAGATATGATTAATTAAATATCTTAATACAAACAATCGTAACTATGTACAGTAACTACGAACAATAAATATATATTTTAATATAAACAATCGTAACTATGTAAGTATGAACTGTTACTTAAGGAGTGGACGGACACAACGAGGATATATAAGGACTGGATCATCCATATTGGACAATATTCGGTAAACCAACTAGGTATACCTTACCCTCGTATTCTCTAGTTAATGACACTCTCTAAAATTGATTAGAATGACACTGTTAACTTTGAGGTACGATGATATGCGCTTGTCAATTCTTAGTTCGTTCCTATCTAGTTGAAATGACTCAAAGATTACATATACCTTGGCACTATTCAGTTTAATAAAACTTCACTGACACATAGTACGTATATCCCGGCGCTGCTCCTATAAAAGGTAAGAACTTAAGAATGACTGAAATTATTATAAAGTCGGGTTTTCAGGTCTTAAACACTTTTATTATATTAAAACAAACATAAATAAATCACTTAGCAAATTCAGATTGCCTAGCCAGTACTACGATCGACGTTTCACACGTACAACCGTCGTACCTACAAAGGGACTCCTGTGCCTGCGATTACGGCGGTGTTATATAGTAAAATATTATTGCTGCCTCACGCCCTCACTACATATTGCTTCACTGGCCTGACCTATATCAATAATTTACAATTTAAAATATTCCCACCTATATTACATATATATTAAATAATAATATTTTGACGACTGTCTACAATATAAGACAGGACATAAGGTGTACTACACTTATGTTTAAAAACTCAAAAAAAGTATATACATAATATTATGCAACATGTATATACACAATAAATTAACATATTAAAAGAAATTTTTTAATTTTAAGTAAATAAAAATGAGAGTTTAATAAATAGACACGTCCTACATAATCTGTTATGTAATATGCGTAAAGGCTTGTTCATTGTTTATTATCAAAATGAATTATAATTAAGTAGTTCCTATTCAATATTTTTTTATATCAATTCTTGAAAATTGAAATCAATTATTAAACATTAACTGAAGTTGATGGAGCATATTTCAATGGCCTTATAATACTGGGCCTTGGTAAATTTGATCAAGTTGAACTAATTCACCTGATAATGAATATAATACTATTGAGTATGGTGCTGTGTTTTTAGACAGAATATTACTTAAATTTTGTTATCCCTTAGTTCTAGGAATGACGTTATTTCTATTCTAATTCATTATTTAATTAATTAAAATAAAACTCTCATCTAAGGCATAATCAGAGTTTCTAATTTTAAATTATAATTAATAAAAATGACAAATGAGTTAGTAAAAATGTTAACACAATTATAATTAATCCGTGTTTAATAATATCTATAACTTTTTAACAGATTGTGCGTCATATTCTGCAATACCTTTTCAATATTATCTTTTGTTTTTTTACAAAGTTTTCTGAGTAATAAAATGCAGCGACTTTCCATGTCCCCCGATCATGTAATTACTGGAGTGGGAGGTAAAGAAATATTATTTATTTCGTCTTTAAAATTTAAGCCTTATCTAGGTTAATTACACAATATTTTTTTACAATTAAAATGATTAAAATATAAACATTTTAAAATAATTCTAGAACTTTTCAGCAATACGATTGCAAGAGTGGGAAATACAAGTTACATATTGTATCATGTTAGAATAAAATAATGTTTAAGATTTTCATGATTTCACCATAATGTAAAGTAAAAGTTTTCGTCGACAAATGTAATAAGCATCATTCAATCTTCCATGCCTTCATCTATCCATAATTATTATTATTTTAGAGAGTCATTTTTAAATTGACTAATCGTGTTATTTATTATGTTATTACTTTATGTAAGTAACTAACATAGGTAGGACCAGAGAAGCAAATTGTGCAGAGGAAACCATATTTTGTAATTTAACAGCGTCGCGAGTACGAAGAGAATTCCTGTGTTGTCGTAGAGTTTGAAAGAAGTTGTACGCGGGTTGTGAATGACTTCGACGACTACACACATACCTCAGTGGAATATAATTAATTATATTATATATTATGTTTGTTTTAATGTACCTAATAAAAGTGTTTCCGACCATAAATATTGTGTTAAACTTTCTTGCAACGTTCGACCTATTTAAAGAATAAAGACTGAATTGTGCTATAGGGATACTAGGATACATATAGCTAGGTGGAATTTTGATCTAATTGTCGGGGGGGGGGGGCAATTAATTAGATTAGAGGGCATTTATTAATTAATCATAATTTACTGATCCATTTAAAATGATAAGTTTTAACTCTCATTTTTTTTTTTTACTACACGACTAGGTACACCATACATAAATAACCGTAGAGGGTGGCATAGACCGTAGCCACAATTCCAACTTACTTATAATATGTAATAAATAATAATAGTATTAACAATATTTAATTGTACGTGTTTAGTAATATTAATAAAAACTGTGATAATAACGATAGTGATAAATGATAATTTATATTTAAATTTATAACACCTACATTTTTAGTAATAAAATACATTAAACAGACAACAGTTAGTATTTTTATTTTATAAGGAAGTCGGTAAGTGTTTTGTGAATAAATGTATAATTTACAAATTGCCTATTATTTAAAAAAATAAATAATTACAAAATCCATAAAAAAAAAAAAAAATTTTCAGTTAATGAAAATGGAATGGACGTAAAACGACAAACTTATTCCATCGTACCTCACCACAAGCAAACAATGCCGGCCAAATTTAATTTTGGATATGGTTAAGTTGGAGTAACTATTAACGAAGGCTACAACGCGTTAGGGGTGTTAAAGGTTTAGCTAGTCACTTAAAAAGAGTGATAAATAAGTTTCCCATAATATGTACTTTCATCTGGTTTGTATATTTTGCTTAGAAAATTTGGAATAGTTTTTTTTTTATAATTTGTACAACGGTATATCGTGTTGATGTCGGAAGAA